TTTTTCTTAGAGATGTGACACAAACAAGCGCTTAGCTTCCAGCTCCATCTTATTGCCCAGAATTTAGTCACATGTCCACATCAAGCTGCAAGGGAGGCTGGGAAATGTAATCTCTAGCTGAGTTGCCCTAATAAAGCTCACACAGTCTAGTATTAAATCAAGACAGAATGAATATTGGTGACAACTAAAAATCTCTGTCACAACATTTTTCAATTTATCTATACAGTCATCTGTTACGGACTGAATTGTGTCCTCACCCAAAGTCATATGTGGAAGCCCTAAATCCCAGTACTGTAGGATATGACTGTATTAGGAGATGGGGGTTTTAGAGAGGTTAAATGAAGGCATAAGGGTGGAGCCCTAATCCGATATGAATGTTGTTTTTATACGAAGAAAAAGAGACACACAGGAGTGGGCACGCAGAAAAAAGGCCACCTGAGGACACAATGAGAAGGCAGCCGTCTACACGCCGAGGAAAAAGGCCTCAGCAGAAAACAAACCCACTGACACCTGGATCTTGGGCTTCCGGGGTTCAGAACTGTGAGAAACAAGCTTCTGTTGTTAAAGTCGCCAGCCTGTGGTATTTTCCTGTGGCAGCCCTAACAGGCCAATACACCGTCCTTCTGGATAGTGGTCATGAGGCAGGCAGTTCCTCGATCCTCATCCTTGCTCGCATCACAGCGAATTCGTCTGGGTAGAAAGATTAGACGGAGAAAGTCTGGGCAGTTTACTGTCTCTGCTTCCAAACTTTCTTGGAGCTCAGCCTTTGGCCCCGGGAGACCCCTCGATGCCCTTGAAACAAGCACCCACTTTTCCAAGTTGGTATCTGGAAAAATTCAACAGAGGAGATAGAAAATATTTGTCTAAAAAGATCAACTTCCTATGATAGAACTTCTATATGCCCTGCAACGTGTGGATATTTTTATATGCGACCAAAATGTAGGTTTTATTTCATTCTAGTTTACAATGTCAAAATTCTGTATTTTCAATGTCAACAATATTTTGGGGGGAACACATTGAAACCACTTAAAAATATTTGAGCATTTATTCATGTGTGAGAGAAACATTGATCGGTTGCCTCCCGCATGCACCTGGACTGGGATCAAACACTCGCCTAGCTGAGTGTCCTGCGGAGGGGTCAAATGTGAAACTTTCGGGCGCGTGGGATGATGCTCCAACTGACCCAGCCCCCTGGCCAGGGCAGGGGAAGATTTTTGTTTTTGTTTTTAATGTGCCTTAGAAGCTCTATGTGAAATCAAGAGGCTACTATCACCTCCCTTAGGAAAAAAAAGAATTCTAAATTAGGTAAATGCCTTACAGAGGGAAACCCATGCTGGTGAAACTGGAACAAAGGGGGTATCCTTGGAAATCTTTTCCTTTTACCTTTATTTGCACTTGCGACTCCAAAGAAAACCAGGTTTGCTAAAACAACCCCAGCAGATCCCTCACTTTCCAGCCCCCTCCCACTTGCCTGCCGCCCTGCCTACCTTCCACCTTTCCCCTCCCATCTTTGTCTCCCGATGGGCAGCAGCTCTCTGATGCCCAGGAGCCATTGGAGATATTTTTAGTCTTCCCCCCAGGAAAATTTCCTGTCTTTAAGATCTTTAGGGGCCATTCTCTTTGCTTTTGGATCCATAGTTTTTCTTTTGGGTTTTGTATTATTGTGCTGTGTGTTTATGCATGGCTATGTATGTCTATTATAGATACGATACTGTTAGATGGTACTGCCAAAAAATTTGATTTGTAAATTTGAATGGAGACTGTCAAAGGGCCCTATTTAACTGGCTTAAAACAAATGAGCACTCACACACATTGGAGAAATAACAGAAACTAATGCAATTACTTTTAAAGTGCACATGATCTAGGATTAACCTTCAGCAAAGAAAAACCACCTTAAGGATGTTGGTTGAATTAAAGAAATGAAGTTGTCTACAGCTCTCCAGCTTTGGAGCTGGCAGACTAGATGGGAGACCAGGGTAATAAGGCAGGGACCTGAATGTGTCATTGTATGACAGACGCACGCAAGATGCCTCAGTTTAAGGTCCAGACGCTTATGACAAAGCCTGATCAGGATTTTATGATGATTGGAAATGACCGCACGTGTAGAATAAGATGTGTGTTTGGTAAAAGAAGGTATGAGGAATGGAAATGTATTTTTATTTTTTAAAAAAAGAAAATAATTTTGTTCTAAAGTAAATGCAACAAAGAAATAGGACAAAAGATGGTTTATAAAAGTTGCAGGAAGTTTGTATGTGTTGTAGAAGTTTTATAGAAATGGGATTTTGAGAAAGAAATCTCATCCAAATGAAGACTGGAATAGGTTTATTTAACTTAAAGTATGCTGATACAGATTTAGAATTTGAGTTTCTGTCACTGTTAAAAGGACAAAAGTTTTTTTTCTTTCCCATACTGTTGGTATGTTTTAGTAGGAAATTATAAAGAGGATGTCTCTTTACAAAAGGGGGAAATAAGACGAAGGAGGCCTATCTGACATTTAGAAAGTGCATTTCAATTCAGTTGCCCTCCCTCAAGGATAAACATGTGTAATGATGATGCATATGTATTCTTACTGGGCAGAAGCATTCCCGGGTCCAAGGGTTACAGCTACAGCAGTTACTAAATTACTTCTAGAGAGGAGTTTTGCTGCTCAGAAAATCCCCCGAGTCCCCTAAGGGAAGGGGAACCCATTTCACCAAATTCTACACCAGCCACGCAGCACTCGGCTGACACCATGGTATTGTCATTGCGCTTATCGTCCCCAGTCCTCTGGTTTTATAGAACAAACTGACAAGACAGGTAAAATTCAACTGGTAAAACTTGTTGAATCTTTTCATCTGCCTTGGCCTAAAGCTCTTCACTTGGTATTGCTTAACTTAAGATGTATTCCTTTTGCTAAATATTGATTGTTCTCTTCTAAAATTGGCCCTGGGAGACCTGTCCTATGAACCTAGATCAGGGACTGTGAGGACCTTTGTTATTAAGAAGACCTTCTAACTTATTGCAAAGAAGGTACAGAGGTTCTTGAAATCAACGCAAGCTTGTAGAGCAGTCTTCCCAGAGTGCTCCTGGGAGACGAAGACAGTGGCCATTACGGCCTACAGCTGGATTCGTGGTCCATCAGAGAGGACATCTCCACGAGGACTCCCCCAGAGAGGCTGGGCCACACTGGGTATTGCTGACTAATCCCTGAGCTGCAAGGTTACAAGGTACTGATAAGTAAATAAGTGTTTTTAATAAATAAATAAATATATTTGATCATTTAGAATGTGTGACATACTTTGTTGTTGTTTAGGGGGTTTTTTTTTTAGTGTTTTTGTTTTTGTTGTTTAGTTTATGAAATAGTCCGCCGGAGGCTGAGGAAAGTTCGCCGTTTGGGAGAGGGTCTGTGCGGGAAAGCCAGTGCTCTCCTGCAGAGCAAGGAAGAAGACTGCTCGAATAAAATTTCATTAAAGTTTATTACTTGTCAATGATCAGTTATGAAACTGGTCTATTGAGTAAGTCCATCAGGAAAGGGCTTCCCTTTTCTCTTAAACCGCTGCCTTACAACCAGGTTTTGTGGCCTCTCCCTCCATCAGGATCTATTCTGAATTTGGGGCAGACCCATTGATTTTAGTGACAAGTCTCATTTCAGCAACTGCACCTGTACTTCATGCATTAAAATGTCCAAGCCGGTCCAGTCTGACACCCACCTCACACCCAGTCCAGAAGGCTGCCTGGCCCTGGCTCAGGCCTTCCTTGCTGGGAAGTGGGGGAGGAGTGTGGTCAGTGTCTTTACCCTTCCTCCACCTCCTCTGTCTTCTCTGTCTTCTGGATGTCCCTAGGCTACCACAAGGGAAGAATGCAGCGGGCAGAGAGCAGCAAATCTCCTTGAAGCTAACTATTAGATAGGGCAGCCAGGCCCTGTGCCTGTGCCTCTTATGATGGTGGAGTCCAAATGTTGGCTCTTTCACAGGATGCATCTGTGGGCTATTCAGGAGCTTTGGGCAAACCCCACATTGCACAGTTCCTTGATGCAAGTGGCACAGTCTCTGGCTGACCGCTAGCAGCCACACCCCCTCCACCCCCCACACACACCTCTTCCCCCTAGCTCCATGGCCTCTTACTATTGTAGTCCCTTCATTGTATAAAAGGCTGTCCAGATAACTGAGGTCCCCTCATTATAACTTCATTCCACTGTCCTTTCCATGGTCGACACGGCCCACAGGAAGTTTGCCATGCTGACTAATGGGAGGGCAGATTACAATCGACTCTTCCTTTCTTTCCTCATCCTGCTGCTTAGGGGCTGCCCAAGCCAACCTTTCGCCTTCTGAATTCTCCAGGTGGGAAGCACTTGGTACATTCGTTCAATATTTATCGCGCACTTATACGTGTAAAGCATCGTTCACCAATCTCTATACTCACTGCCCACCCCGGCACCAACTCTAGGAGACACTTGTCAAGCTCCTCCAGGAGCTCTCACCCCACCTGTCCGCTGTCCTGGACTGTGCATTCCTGTTGCCCGGTGAGCCTTCAGGCGGGGTGGGTGCCAGACTACGCTTCTACTATGTTTAGAGCCTCTCTCGTTCGCCTTTGGAAGAAATCCAAAGCTATCTCCCCCCAGGTCTAGCACCTCTATTTCATGAATCCCTGCTCACCCTTTTGAATCTAGTCTTCTGTAAATGGTAAAATGAGTTGAGGAGTACTGGTGTCTTTCTGCTATTTTCCACTGAGTCCAACCTAGCTGTGTCTAATATTTCTGTCTAAAATGTGCTTTTTGTTAGCTTTGAGGCATTCTCCAAAATTCGAATGCACCAACATGCCCTACACAATAACCAGTTACAAATAAATGTGGCTCTGAGGTACTTTTTGTTTCTTTGTGGGGGTGGCAGAGGATTTCGGCAAGCAGGTAAGCCCATGTCTTTGGCCTCAACAGTCTATGACTAAAGCTGTATTTCCTCTCATATACACAAACTACTGCATGTTTGTGTAGCTAGGTCAAAAATTTAACGATTATTCAGACATGAAGAAAAAAGCTATCTTTATTTTCCACATCTGGTCTAACTTTCCCCCAAGCCCCAAAGTTGAGCAGGATGACAAAGCTCACCCAGAGCCAAGGAGGAGGCACAGGGCACTCGAAGGGGCACTGCGTACAGTTGTGAGGTCGACTCTTTCCTCCCTGCCATGACGCCCCATCAACGCCTGCTCATGCAGAACCCATTTGGGAAAGGGGAGGAGAGAGGAAAGGTCTCTGAATGACTGACCCTTTAACCCACACGGGACTATTTCGATTTGAAACAGAATGGTTTGACCAGAACAGACTGAGCTGTCTGGAACTGGCAAGTTGGGGCACCACCTCAGCCCCAGCCTGCTTCCCCAGCTCAACGCAGCATGGCTCACGCTCCGTCTTTCCTGAGCACGTACAGAGAATGTGGGCACCATTTAGGCAACAGCTTAACACCATGATATTCACTGGAATGCACGTGTATGAGAGCTTCTTAAGTTGGATTTCCTGACTTTTTTTTTACATTTCCACATCATTGTTTTCAGTGTTCAGTATTAATTTCACATTAAACGCAGCTCTAATGTTAGCCCAAAAAAGTCCATGTTTGCTCTTCTCCTTGGGCCATTCCAAATAAGTCCGCTGTGTCATGAGAGACTTCAGCTTGTGATACTTGCTAGGAATGTTGTTCTGTGGAATGGGTTCCAGCAAGATCAGGATTAAGTTGTCCGATCCTTCATGAAAGAGATTGTGGTGGGCAAAGTAGAGTTCATAATGGCACCACTCGCTCTGAACAAAGTTCGGAGACAAAACAAAGATGGACTTGTAACTTTTCTCAATGCAGTTTATGATATTTTCCACAATGCTCTTGCCAGGAACAAAGTTCCTCTCATGGAGACAAATCTGTATACCTTCTTTTTCTAGGCAAGGTACCAGTTCACCCTTCACCCAGGCAGAGTCATGTTCGCTGTAGGAAATAAAAGCATGGAACTGCAGGGTTCTCTGGAGTTTGTCTAAGGGTATGTTCCTAGCCCTGCGCCGGGTCTGGGTCCACTGACACACCATCCTGAGATACCAGGGCAGATCCAGATAGATACAGAGGACAGTCAGAGTAACAGCCAGCGCCAGTCCAGTGACCCCAATGGTAACAATCAACAGAGCTGTGTTGCAGGTTAATGGAGACAAGTGAAAATCCTTCAGTAGGGTCCCCTTGTAGCTTTCTGGGTAGTCACACTGGTAAGAGTCAGGCCAACCCTCTACCACTCCACTTGACACTTGGCCTATACTTTGGATAAACTCTCTGAGCTCACATGTACAATGGAATGGATTGTGCCCTGCGTTTATGGACCTAATCTTCTGGCAGCTCTGGAAGAAATGAGCTGATGGGTTGGAAATTGAATTATAGTCAATGATCAGTACAGAGAGGCTGCCAAAGGTACCACATCCAGGCAGGTGGGCTAAGGAGTTGAAAGCAACGTTGAGTTCTTGCAAATCTTCCAGACTGATGACATCTTCAGGGATCCTCATTATTCTGTTATTGTGAAGGTCAAGAACCCTGACCCTGGAGGGCAAACAACTGAACACAGAATCAGTAAGTACATTTGAGGACAAATTTAACACCACTATACTCCCAACCCAAGTGCAATTTTGGTCACGTCTATCATATTCCAAATAATTCCAGCTCACGTCCAGTATTTCCAAAGATGGCATATCCTTAGTCATGAGACCCACCTTGAAAAGGTCTTTTAATTCATTCTTTTGTAAGATCAGGGTCTCCAATCTAACTAAAGTGGAGCACTTTTGAAAAACACTATCTGTGAAAACATTCCGGGTAAAGTTCAAGACCTTAAATGTGCTTGTGGTTTGAGGGCAAAGCATGTGTATAAAATTTGTATCTGATATGGTTAACATCATGATGTTCATCTTGGAAAACACCATGTATAATGCCGTCTGCGAAAAAATAAAAACTCTGTTTGTAACATGTTCGATTGTCAGTGCTTTCAAAGATGTTTCAGGATAAGTAAAATCTTCCTCATCAATGCTTTCAACAATCGTGAGATTGTAAATATTGAGGTATTCTACAGGCCTAGGCCAAAGGAACTGAAACACTATGACTAAGCATTGCCAAGTAGTTTCCACATGGTTGAGTGTAAAATTCAGTAAATTCGGACCTCTTGTTAGTTGTGATAAAAATTTAATAAAAACTTGACAGTTCCTATCATTCAACTTAATATTACTCAGTTGTAGGCATCTCAAACTGTTAACTGATATGTTTGCTTGGACAGAGAAGATATTATTTGGGTGAAAAACTAGGTGAAGTGTTTTTGTGTTCAGAATTTGAAGACTCTCTGTCTCATGTTCTTTCACATAATAGCCTTCCAAATCCAGGAGGATGCCACTTAGATGCAAGTGAGCAACTGGTAGCAGGTCCAATGGTTCTAACTTCTTAGCACTTAATCCCAAGAAATTCAGTTGAGTCAAGTTACCAAATTCCTTACAGATGGGCAGGGCATCAAAGTCATTGAATGAGAGGTCTAAATGCTTGAGACTACTGATAAAATGGCAGGAGACCTTCTGCAACTGATTGTGCGATAAATCCAAATATTCCAAATCCTGGTTGAACTTGAAAATGCTAATATCAAGGCACTGGAGTCTATTATGGGAAAGCCTCAGAACTTTCAGCTGTGAGAGAAAGCTGATGTCAGCAAGGTGAAGCTCAGATATATAGTTCTGGGACATATCTAAGACCTCGGTTTTGGGTGGCAGGCCTTTCGGAACACGAGTAAGGCCTTGGTTTGACTTGTTTACTGAGAACTCACTTTCATCAGAGAACTGGACTGTGGTTCCAGCTATTAAGATTACGATGTAAACAAAATGAAAGCTTCCGACAGTGGTTTTTCTGTCTTCCATCATGATGTGGAAGCGGCTATGTTCCAAAAGGTTGTTGCTGTTCTTCAGAGCATCTTGGTAAGCACCCACATTCTAGAAAAGAAATGTACAGTACGACGTATAAAGATTGGGTGATTGTTCTCAACTCTCTACTTACCAAACACAAAACCTCAATTATTTCTTTATTCATGATTCCCATAAGATGGGTATGTGTTTTTCCAACTCACATTAGACCAGAAGCAACACGTTCAGAGAGACAGGATTCAGCACTTGATCATCTGCTAAACGTCAAGTTCCCACAGTTGACACACTGATAGAACATGAAAAGACGGATAAATGTTAATGAGCACATTGAGGAAGGCAGAAGGCAGGTCAGGCTAAAAGCTGGTGTGTGGGGGAGAGAACGGTATCCCACAGCCAGGACCTCTCACTGTACTACAACATGGCCTAGATACTGATGTTCGTGACAACTGGTGAATGAGAAGATGACCTGGCTGAGGGGTGGAGGCAGGTACACAAGCCCACGGACCCCATATTTGTGACCAGAACAACGGGTTGGAAATCTGAGAGTCACTGGACCGCATTCAAGATTTTAGAAAACCATCTAGGAGCCCCCAGGGAACAAGAGCAGGTAACAACACAAGTACAACTTTGTGTAGCAAGAATAACTGGGAGTAGACTTTGACTAGCTGTCGTTCAGTTTTATTAACAAAAGGATCTGCTGTTCATCACCTGAGGGTGTATTGGAATAGAAAAGCAGTTAAGAGATGAGTACAAGTTCAATTCACCATTCTTTGGAAGAGTAAGCACTCTTCTGGGTTGTAACATTTCATTACAAAATGGCATATTTTTTCTTTAAAATTATTTTTATGATAAAATTATTTAAATATGTACAAACATAAAACAGATATGTATTGAGTGCCTACTACGTGCTTGGCACTGTTCTGGACATTGGTGGCAGACCACAGCCCTGACCTCACGTAGTGTGTAATGTGGCAGAGCTACGACTGCAAGTGGACCAGGCCCCTGCGTTCCTTTTTTTTAACCAAAATCCTTTTTCTTAATCCCTTCACCTTTTCACCCAATTCCCCAAACTCTCTCCCCTCTGGCATCCATCAGTCTGTTCTCTCTTTCTATGAGTCTGTTTCTGTTTTGTTTGTTCGTTTACTTTGTTCTTCAGGTTCCACATGTAAGTGAGATAATATGGTATTTGTCTTTCCCTGAATGACTTATTTCACTTAGTATATAATTACCTTCTAGGTCCATCCATGCTGTTGCAAATGGTAAGACTTCATTCTTTTTACGGCCACATAATATTCCATTGCGTGTGTGGGTATCACAGCTTTTTGATCCACTTGTCTATTGATGGGCACTTGGGCTACTTCCATATCTTGGCTATTATTGCACTGCAATAAACATGGGGTGAATATAGTCTTTCAAATTAGTGTTCTGGGTTTCTTCAGATATATACCCAGAGGTGGAATTGCTGGGTCATAAGGCATTCTATTTTTAATTTTTTGAGGAAACTGCATACCATTTTCCTTCATACCATTTTCCACAGCGGCTGCACCAGTCTGTGTTCCTACCACCAGTGCACTAGGGTTTCCTTTTCTCCACATCCTCACCAACACTTGTTGTTTGTTGATTTCTTGACGACAACCATTCTGACAGGTGTGAGGTAACATCTCATTATGGTTTTAATTTGCCTCTCTATGATGATTGGTGACATTGAGCATCTTTTCCTATGTCTCTAGGCCATCTGTACGTCCTCTGAGGAAATGCCTATTCAGGTCCTCTGCCCACAAAATGGCATATTTTTTAAAGCCAATTATACTTCAATTTTTAAAAAACGGCATGTGAAAAAGTTTTAAATATAAAAAAATTTAAAATGTCATATGGTTAAAAGTCCCTCACCCCCTCCTCCCATACAGCCTCTTCCAGTTGTTCACCAAAATAACCATGAAAACACAGAAACACTTGAAACAACACCTTGCCACCTAAACCATAGAAAGATGGAAAATTAATGGCAGGATTCAAAAGCATTTACACTCGTGAAAAAGAAACTGAGCTGTGTTAAGGGAAGTCCAGTGTACTCAAGCTTTGTCTCAGGAAAATAGACTCCCCGGCAAGAGGTATGAATACATTTTAACTCACTCTGTGTTTGTCTCTGATTCAAACCAAGGGTGAACAACCACCAGGTAATTAAGTAGTTTTTCTGTCCTCCCAATGGTACCGATATGGGTGGGTCACAACACTGAGTTTTCCTTCTACGCCACCATCCTCCAGATCCTCATCACACAATGACAGACCCTGAGGTAGCAGCTGAGCAAGAAGTACTCTTACCACTTCCATTCAACACACTATATGGGAAGTCCTAGCCAGAGACAATTAGACAATAAAAAAAAGGATCCAAACTGGGAAAGAAGAAGTAAAAAGTACCTCTGTTTTCAGATGGTATGATCGTACATGTAGAGATTCCTAAAGAGTCCACCAAAAAAACTTTTAGAGCTAATATACAAATTCAGTAAAGCTGCAGGATACAAAGCCAAACAAAATCAGTTGTTTCTCTATACACTAACAACAAACTACTTGGAAAAGAAATAAACAAAACAATCTTATTTACAATTGCATCAAAAAGAATAAAATACAGGATAAATAGAATACAGAATAAATACAGAATAAAATAGGAATAAATTCAACAAAGAAGATGAAAGACCTATACACTGAACACAGAAGACTTTGAAGAAATAAATTGAAAACACAAATAAAGGGAAAGATATCCTGCGTTCATGGGTCAGAAGAAAAAATATTGTTAAAAATGTCCATACTACCCAAAGCCATCTGTAGATTCAATGCAATCATTATAAAAATTCCAATGATATTTTTCTCAGAAATAGAAAAAATTCTAAAATTCCTATGGAACCTATTTGGTGTCTTTAGTGAAAGACACCAAATAACCAAATAATTCTGAGACAGAACAAAGCTGGAGGCATCACACTTCCTGATTTCAAACTATATCACAAAGCTGTGGTAATCAAAACAGTGTGGTGTTCACATAAAAAAAAAGACACACATGGACCAATGGAACAGAATTGAGAGCTCAGAAAAAAACCCATGCATAAACTGTCAGCTAATATTTAACAAGGGAGTCAAAAATACTCAATAGGGAAAGGATAGTCTCTTCAGTAATCGGTGTCAGGAAAACTGTATATGCATGTGCAAAAGGAAAGTTTGACCCCTGCCTTATCCCACTCACAAAAAATTTACTCCAAATGGATAAAAACTTAACCATAAGACCTAAAACCACAAAACTCCTAGAAGTAAACACAATATCAGCTTCTCCTAGAAGAAAACCTGACACTGGTCTTGGTAATGATTTTCTGGATCTAACACCAAAAATAGAAGCAACAAAAATGAAAATGAAAAAGTAGGGTTATATCAAAATAAAAGGCTTCTGCAAAGCAAAAGGAACAATCAACAAAATGAAAAGTCAATGTACACATTGGGAGAAAACACATATGAACCATGTTATCTGATAAGGGGTTAATATCCAAAATATATAAGGAACTCATATAACCCTATAGCAAAAATGTAAAAACACAACCAAATAATTCAATTACAAATTGGCAGAAGACCTAACCAGACATTTTTCCAAAGAAAGTGTACAAATTGCCAATAGGTGCATGAAAATATGCTCAATATCACTAATCATTGGGGAAATGCAAATCAAAATCACAATGACATGTCACCTCACACCTGTTGGAAAGGCCATTATTAAAAAGACAAGAGAGCCCTGGCCGGTGTGTCTCACTTGGTTGGAGCATCGTCCCATAAAATGAAAGGTTGCTGGTTCCATTCCTAGTCAGGGCACATACCTAGTTTATGGATTCCATCCCTGACTGGTCCCCAGTTGGGACGTATAGGGGGGTCAGCCAGTCGATGTTTCTCTCCTCATCTCTCTCTCTCTCTCTCTCTCTCTCTCTCTCTCTCTCTCTCTCTCTCTCTCTCTCTCTCTCTCCCTCTCTCACTAAGCAATGAAAAAATGTTCATCAGTGAGGATTTAAAAAAAAGACAAGAGACAACAAGTGTCGGCAAGGATGTGGAGAGAAGGGACCCCTTGAGCACTCTTGGGGAATGTACATTGGTGCAGCCACTATGGAAAATAATAAAGAGTTTCCTCAGAAATAATAAAAATGGAACTACCATGTGATCCAGCGATTCCATTTCCAGGTATATATCTAAAGGAAATAAAATCACTATCTCAAAGATGGGGTACCCCCATGTTTGTTGACACATTACTCACAATGAGACATGGAAACAACCTAAGTGTCCATCAACGGATGAATGGGTAAATAAAATGATACGTATATATATATACAGGGTCCAGCAGAAATAATGCTCCTTTTTTATTACAAAATCTTTTCTTTCAAAATCATAAGCGTGTACTTCTATAATATAACAATATCACACTCAAGCACATCATATGACATTTTAGGCGAGATGTTCAAATTAAAGCTATAAATTATTACACCCATATTATTACCCTACCAACCACACTCAGGCAGGCCTTACTTCTGCTGGACCCTCTATGTATATGTCAAGTCATTAGCAACTGTAGCACAATATTTCTTCTGCTCTGGTAGCAGAAGCTGCTGAGCAAATTTTGCCACGAGGTATTTCATGCCATAGTCCAGCATCAAAATCTGGGACACAGTGGTTTTGGAATCCCCACATCAGCTTCTAGCTCTCACACTGTCAGTGGCTGGTCTTTGTTGGTTGCAGCCTGTACACATTCAACATTCTCAGGTGTTCTGCTTGTTGCAGACCTTCCAGAATATGCTTCAACAAACTCTCAGCCATCCTTGAAGCATTTGTGCCACACTTTTATTTGCCCTGCACTGATTGCATTGCCCCCGAAAGCCTTACAAATCATCCAAATAGTTTCCGTAGAGGAATGTTCAAGCTTAACGCAAAACTGGATGCAGATTTGTTGCTCTACTTGCTCAGTCATTTTGAATGCAATAGCCACACAGCACACATGCTCACTCAACAGCGTCTACCACCCCCACTGACTAGTACAGTGGAGTGACTAGTACATTGTTCACACAAGTGCTTTCCAGTCCACTCTCCTTGGCTGCCAGGTTACAAACCACTCTTGTTATATTAACAATGGCTGTACTTTTCCCAGACAAATCTCGAGTGTGTGTGTGTACTGCCCTGACACCTTGATGGCATTACACTAAGTGAAATATGTCAGAGAAAGACAAATACTGTAGGATCTCACTTATACGTGGAATCTAAAAAAGCCAAAAAAAGGTAGTTGCCAGGAGCTGGGAGGTGAGGAAATGGGGAGATGGTGGTCAAAGGGTACAAACTTCTAGCTGCAGGACAAATGCATTCTGGGGATCTCAGGTGCAGCCCAGGGACAAGAGTTAACAGCATTATACCACATACTTAAATGTTGCTAGAAGAGGAAACCTTAAATATTCTCACCACAAGAAAAGGTAATTATGTGAGGTGATTGATGTGTTAACTAACCTTAGTGTGGTAATCATTTTGCAATATATATGTTATCAAATGATCACATTGTAGACCTTAAACTTACAGAATGTTATATGTCTATCATAGCTCAATAAAGACAGAAGAAAAAGAACTGGGCGAGAGGTAGGGAGGAACTCGAATGGGCACACTGTATTCTGAGATGCGTAAACCACACACAGTACTTGTGAAGGGGAGAGGAGATAAGAACACTTGCAGCTTTATTCATCAGGGATTACAGTTTGTACACTCAAGACTCCATTACATCAAAGTATCAGAGAATCTGGGCAACAGGATAAGAGAAGCTGCTGCTTTATACTACTAAAAATAAATCACTCATGATGAAAATATAACTGATAAGAACACTTATGCACTGAATAATATTGCATCAGAATTTACAAAGTATAAATGCTAAAAACACAAGGAGACATTGATTGTGAAATTATTTAGTGTATTTCTCTGGGGTTATAGTTAGATTAATTAGCAAAAAGTAAACGTAATGGAGGATGTGAATAAAATAATTAATAAAAGTTAAACAAAGACTTATAAACTTTGTACCTCCTAAAAGAGACTGTTGTATATTTAAATTCCCCGTGTTTGTGGAGTATTTAATAAAATTAACTGTTCCTTAGGTTAAATAAATTTGTTAATAAATACTCTAAAGCAAATACTTTTAAAGTCACATTTCTTGCTACAAAACAAACTTTTCCAACTACTTTTTTAAATGTTATAAATATTTTCTGGGTCAAGAAAATCACATTTTTAATAGGAATTATGAGAGCCAACAGGATGGTGCGAACCTGCACCAGCCTCCTCCTCTGACCTAACCCCCCTGAGATGAAAACACACACAGGCACACACGTAAAAGCAAGAAGGGAAGTTCTCAGGGAAATAAATCAAGGAGAAGTCTCTGAAGTTCACACACATATTGGACTACAACAGACAGAATACTAGCTTCACAAAGATGTCCACCCCCTAATTCCAGAACTTATGAACATGCTGTTACATGGAAAAAGGGAATGAACATTCCAGCTACAGTTAAGGTTGCTAATCAGCTGACCTGAAAATGGGAAGGATATCCTAATATAATCACCCGAGTCCTGACAAGTGGAAGAGGGAGGCAGAAGTAATGACTGTCATTTACTACTTGCTGGCAGAAATGAAAAATTAGACAACCTTTCTGAAGGGCAATTTGGTCAGTTACATAAATTCTTCAAACATTTGCTTACCCTTATTTTAGCAATCCCAGTTCTCAGAATAGTCTTCTAAAGGAATTAACAAAGATATGCTTAAAAATATTACTATGACAATGCTCGTAACATAATGAAAAGTTGAAAAAAATGATAATGTCTAGTGTAGAAAATGGTTTAATCAATTATGGCACACTCATAATATGGAATAGCATATAGTCTCCAATACTGCACTTTGGGGAAAAATAAGATCTACGATACAATGTTACATGAATAAAAAAATACAACATTGTACATGCGGTAGGACTCTATTTTTGTTAAATATGATTAAAACCTCACATATACACAAAGCCTAGGAACAGAAAGAATAGGAAGAAAGGTATCAAATGCAGGCAGTGGATATCTCTGGATCTCTGAATCATAAAGTCAATTTCCTTTCTTATGCTTTTGTATATTTCCAAAATTTCTAATTTTGAACATCTTTTATACATCAAAAAAAGGTTTGTCTTAAAATACAGCTAATGTAAAAATATTTTATATTTAAAGAGACATGCTTGTATTACTTACTTGTATAGAGAGAGAACTCCTTCCACATGTTGTAGATAATTGGCATTTATGAATGAGAACCTACCTAGAAGTTCCTCTGTGGCGGCTGTGCTCAGGGAACTGTAATTCAGCCACCATGGGGCAGAGTTGATCAGCTGCCCTTAGAGCTGATTCCTTCAGGAGCATTTATGCCCTCAAGCAGTTCCCAGTGTGTACACTTAACAAACCAGCCAGGAGCTTTTATAGTTAAGAAAAATAAAGGAGAGAAAAAAGGGAGATAAGAGTGGATGATTGGAGAGTTCACAACTTTTTAAAAAGTAAGTAAAAAGAGATAAAAAGGAAAAAGATGTTTCTTCTTTTTCTTTAATGCATCAAACAAAAAGAGGGAGAAAAAAAGACAGATGGAAGAAACTCTCTTTCAAGACAAAAAATAAGCCACAGTGGAGAGGATCTATGAAAATTAAAATTATAAGGGAAGATGAGAAAAACGTGGAGGTAAGTGAGACACCATAATCAAGTCACCAAGTGTGCAAGAGAAACACTGTTGTGCTTGTCAAAGTCCAGGCGAGAGACCCAGAGAAAGGCCAGTCCGAGGTCAGTCCCGGCCATTTCCTTCACACAACTGTTTGTTCAGAGTGTACGACGAGCCAGGACTTTGCTGGGCATTAGGCACTGGGGATATAAATATGAATAACACCGGCATAATCCCTGCTCTCCAAATTCTTATAAATTAGTGACAGATACAAATAAGCAATTATAGAAACACATGACAGGGGAGACAAAATATTCCCATCTGCGATAAAGATGCATCATATGTGATAGGTACCATATCGGTGGCATAAACTACTTTGTTACTGAAAAAAAAAAGGAACTAGAGAAAGGTGAAAAGACAAAAGGTAGTAGACGAAAGCAGAAGAAATAAATGTTTCTTCGGTTAGTTTTTCCCTTAACTATAACTACAAGCGCTTTTCATGATAGTCATATCTTTATCTTTGTTACATATTTAAAGGGACATGTGCAACATTAAAATAAAAACACTTCAAATCAATCATCTTGCAAAAATGTCAAAAAACATTACATATTTCCTGTACAATCGCTAGCATTTTCTTCCTTGTTTGAAGTAATTATGTCATAATTTGAAAAAGCCACAAAAGCCTGCTTACTTACCAAGATTTCTTTCTCAGGAGAAGAGAAAATAACTCATAAGTGCAGAAAAATAAGTGCCTGACGAAGTGAAAGCCCTTTAAAGCAATACCATAGAGACGGGTTGGGGCCATCTGTTGGACCTTCCTGGAATTACTCCTATTGGTGAATTTCCCTTTCAAAGGTTACATACAGTTCAAAGCTGTGAGTAAGCAGGTTTCTATGGGTTACAGGCTAAAACAGTAATCTGATTTTTAAATCATATGAGCGAGCAGTTTGCGACAATTTCAGTGTGAAGAAAGCTGTTTCTAAAGTAAGATTTATCGGTAAGAGTTTGCAGCCTGTATGTGAAATTGTCACCAGAGTGGAAACTTACTGAACTTTGCCTGTTTTCTATCATCACCATACTTAACACTTCCGAAGTTATTGCAACTACACTATTGAGCAATTCTGGAGCACTATCTTAGCTGGATGAAGTACGTTAAAATAAAATAAGCTCAGGTCCAAGATTTTTTTAAAGTCACCTTTCAAGGAAAGTTTAGTAGTTGATGGGTGCACTCGTACAGAGCCGCACCTGGGGGGAATGCATCCTGTTTCCCCACATTTTGACCAACACTTAGTGTTACTAGAGGCTTTAATTCTAGATTCTAGAATCATAAATAAGACTGAGATCCTACAGGACTAATTAAAAAAATCAGTTTTCTAAAGGGAATTTAGAACAATTTTAGAATGCTATTGTCAAATGGACTCAAAAGGAGTCTGGAGGCTCTGGCTAGAAGTAAATGATACAGGTTTATTCAAGGATCTTAGAATTTAGAAACTAGAGCCACAGGAAGGACGAAAACCCAGAAGTGTTCCCAAGAAGAAAGAAAAGGCCCGAGTTCTCAGGCTAATTAAAACAAGAATAGACTCCTTTCCTCATGCCCAAACCTACTTGGTTTAGGTAATTTAGCAGCTTGACTATAGTGACTCCATTTTATTCCTTCACTCTGTTTCTCCATGTAAACAAGGGTTGATACAAAAAGAGGGCGTCTGGTTAACCAGAGACTTCAGGCAGCCAAGAGTCCCTACTCCTGACACTTTCCACTTAATTGAGGTTCTGTAAAGAGCCGAACATATGAGTGAAATAATCATTCCGTAATTAATCCCACTGTCTGACATTTACCTCATCTTACAAAAAAAAAAAACAAACAAGTTAAGACCCTACAGTTTGACAGTTGACAAAGATGGACGTCTGGGAAGGATCACTTCTGCCTTCGGAGGGAAAGGAAGACCAGCTTGTTACTATTCATCCTTACTCACCAAACATAACAGCAAGTCTTCTCGGGCCTGGTCAGCAAGTGGATGGGTCTCTGCGGGACCAGCAAAAGGAGACAGCAGGAGAACAGTGGGTATCCGTGGAAACAGGCGGAGGGGATCCGGGCCAGCTGTGGTTTTGAGGAAATTTCAAGCCACACTGGACTGAAGTCTTTAAGAACACGCATGTGCGCGTGCATGCTCGTATCATTGTAGAGGTGGTCACGTTGCACAGTGCCTTTAACAAACGGCATTGCATTGTCTTTAGGGCATTGCGTAATAGTGCCGGTTTAGAGGAACAAGGAGACTGTTCTTGTTGCAGCTGTTATAATTCCAAGAAATGTCTTTGCGAAGATGACAAAAGTCAGGTAACGTGGAAGAGGGCATGGCCAACACACAGGCCATACCAGCTGGCCACGTTCACAATGCCGGGTACCTGCTGTGTGGCCCTGGCTGGGAAAGTTGCTTAACCTCACAGAGACTCCTTTTATTCATCCACCAAATAGGAATCTTGTGATTGGTAGGAAAGATGATGAATACAGCGTGGCTGCAATAGGGACTGACACAGAAGAGGAGTCATTACAGCAAGGAGCTTTGGGATTCTGTGCAAGCCTTATCTTGTTATGCTCTGAGGTGGAAAGACTTCAGGATACGATATGAAGAAAAGTAAGGTATAGAACAGTGTAGAGAGTGGGATTGCATTTGTGTAAAATCTGGTCCGTAAGACATCTGCATAGGTCATCTTGCAAGGCATTGTTCCAAGCACTTCACAAGTATGAACTCATAAAGGTGCTCTGAGACAAGTACCATCAGTATTCCCACTCAGGGGAGACAGGGGAGAGTAGTTAGTAAAATGTTCAAGCTTACTCTGCTGGTCAGCAGTGGGGCTGGGACTTGAACCCAGATGCAATCTATCCCTTGCGTCTATGTGCTCCAGCATTACACTATAGTGCCTGTAATGATAGGGGACTCAAGACTTGGAAAATTTTAGCTTAAGGTAAAAAGCTGTAAGTCTAGCAAGTAATGTGTATGTTAAGCTTTTGTTTCAGAAACTACAGATAAGGCCCATCCTGGCTCCTGAGAAAAGCAGCTGACCTCCTGGGGCATTGGCTAGAGATTACTGCCAGGGGACATGTTGGAGGCATCCGGGCCTTTTGTGTGACCACCTCCCACCCTTGGGAACAGCTAACTGCCAAGAACAGGAATGCTGCAGCTTCGCTAACCTAAACTTCAAAGCCCTCACCGCACCTTGCTTGTCCTCCCCCACCCCCTTATAAAAGATCTGGCCAGGAAAGAGAAGGGAAGGTGGTTTGTTAGGGTATGAGCCTGCCATCTTCTCCAATCACCAGCCACCTGAATAAAGCGCCCATAAAAGATTCACTCGCTGTCATTGCTTATTGGATTTGGTAGTGACAGGCAGCCCGAACGCCGGTGTCTTTTCCAGTTACAGTAAGACACCAGGTGTCCTTATAAGACACACTCAGAGGAAGACAGAGAGAGAGCAGCAGGCCATTCTGGAAACAGAGGCAGAGACTGGACTTCTGCAGCCTCAAGTCAAGAAATGCCTGCAACCCCCAGAACCTAGTAGACTTGCCAACACCTTGGTTTTGAACTTCTAGTCTCCAAAAACTATTAAGAGAATAAATTTCTGTTGTTTTAAACCATGCAATTTGTGGAAATTTCTCATGGCAGACACAAGAAACTAACACAAGGGTCTGCATACATATGCTGATGTATGCATAATTTTTTTCTGAGAGGATACTTAGCTGTTACCTTGGAGCACATGAGCCAAGGGGAGACATATTTTTATTACCATTGCATATGCTCTTTTGCTGTGTCTGAATTTTAAAAATATATACATGCATTACTATTTCATGCATTTTTTCTTTACAAAATGAAGTGGCATCGTGGTGGGGTAAGGAAAACAACGTCATCTAAGGCCAGTGCGTATACTGTCCCCATATGAACAGAGGCAGAGCTGCCTTTCTCTTTCCCTAGGAAAAAAATTGTTATTAGTGTCTACCAGTAGCTTTGAAACAAATTTTATAAAAAATTATCAAAATACACAAACCTCAAGAAATAAAATTGATAACTTAGATATTAAATATTGACATTACACCCAAATTATCTGCTGCATTAAAAAGAATCAGCTACCTGGCTGGCATAGCTCAATGGATTGAGCACCAGCTGCGAACCAAAGTGTCGCAGGTTCGATTCCCAGTCAGGGTACATGCCTGGGTTGCAGGCCATGACCCCCAGCAACTGCACATTGATGTCTCTCTCTGTCTCTCTCTCTTTCTTCCTCCCTTCCCTCTCTAAAAATAAATAAATAAAATCTTAAAAAAAGAATCAGCTAAAGTTTGGGAAAGATATTTGTAACACATATAACCACAAAGGATTAATATACAAAATATATAAAGAATTTCTACAAATCAATAAAAGAATAACTAAGAAGCCCAATGGGAGGATTAGCAAAAATACAAACAGATGGATAACAGAAAAGGAAATAGAAATATCTCAAATGTGTGATAAAGCATCATCATTAAATATGAGAAATACAAATTAAGAGAACCAGGAGACACCACTGAAATGGATAAAAAAATGAAAGCATCTAACAACATCAAAATGTTGGTACGAATGTGAGAAAACAGCTGTCAAACATGTTCAGAGATTCTGACTTACATGGTGGGGGTTGACGCCAGGCACCAGCATTATTTTAAAAGCTCTTCAGGTGATTCCATTCCAACACAGTGAGGATCCCACCACTCTAAGACTGAAACTCTGTCCTGAACACACCGCCCTCTACTGGTCTCTGTTTTCTCAACTGCATCCTTCATACCTCACAGCCTGGAGGAGAGAGAGGCATCTCAGTTGCTACTTCCAGATCACTGTTCCTCCCTGCAGTCCTTGAAACCTGCCCCTCCTGGCTGCGGTGGTGGTGCCACAGAGCCTCATCACGCCCTCATTCATATTTCAGTACCGCTCACCGTCTAAGCCCAACACCACCGCTGCCGTACATAACTCTAGTGATTTCAATAGCTATGTAGACATTCTTTCATTCCCCTGGGTTCTTAGTTCTTAAATATTCTCTCTCTTAATGATCTTTTCCTGCAAGCTACCCCATCCCTGCACTCCCCTATTATAACCCAGGTAGTATGATTACCAACGGCTGTTCCCTCTCCATAATCTCATTTGCCAGCATCCCACTTTCCAGGTACCACCCCTTTCCCTCTGGTGCCAACAATTCCTCACCCACTGCACTGGACTGAAAGATCATGATCCACCCTTTCAATCGTCCCTCTGCATTCACCCACAGCTCCTTGATTCTTCTCTCCTTGACCTGGGTTAAATCCAACTCGCCACTGGACCACACCGAGCCTGAGTGGCTGAATGTAGTTGGAAAAGTACACACCCATGGTTACTGCCTCCCTCAACATTCGTGACTGGGTCCAGCCTCCAGAGGGGGCAGCAGTATTACCTGTTCCATTCCCCTTCCCCAGCCTGTTGACTCTCCCCCTCTCTTGTCTCATACCCCTTCCTCTTACACTTCCAGCACCTCCTTCCCTTCACCTTCCCAGCTGATGATGATGCTTTACTTTTCACAAAGAAACAGCTGCAACCAGAAGAGCATTTCCACGTGTGTGTTACATGCCATTTCACTACGACAACGACACTACGACTGAGTGATGTCCCCAGTGTCCCGTCCTCAGCAGCCCTGCTCTGCTCCTGCAGACTGCTGCCTGGGGCTTCTTTCATGGCATCCATCCCTCTCCTCTTCAGTCTTCCTCTTTCCTTTCTGCCCCGTTTTTCCTGGCATTCTCGTCTGGGGAATGAGATGTGCCCAAAATAGGACAGCTTCACTTCTGTCATTTTAGCCTCCGGGGATGTTTCATGCTTCATTTTCTCTAGGACCCATTCGTTCATCTGGAAGTCCAGGGTATCTGCAGAGCTTTCCTCCGACACCATGTTCCAGATGAATTTATTTTCTTTCCTATCTGCCTTTTTTTGCAATCCAACTTGCACTTTGTAAGTAGTAACTGGGAATGCGAGGATGTGGATGATCTTCGTCACATCCTCCCCCCAAACTCTACTAGCCTCCCTGCTCTACCCCCTGAATAAACTCCCTGTGTCGAGAGCCAGGTCTTGCCCACTGAGCCCGCACCCCCACTCGTGCTCGCCTGCTGGAGGAAATCCCTCCCGCAGTGAGCCTCTCTACTGCATCATCATTTGTCTCTAATGTGTGATTCCAGTCGGCACCTAATGCTACAATTTCCCCCATATTTAAAAATAAGTTCTAAAAGTAAAAACCAAAAATAAATTCTTTCCTTTGAACCTACAACATCTTCCTCTTTGCTCCTTTTTATACCAGAACTCCTTGAAAAAGTGGTGTTTCACTCACTGCCTCCAATTATTTTCCTCCCGTTCTCTCCAGCCCTCTCCAAATGGGTTTCCTTCTCCACCACTCCAGAGAAATCGCTCACCAGGGTTACCAATGACCTCCACATTGCCAAGTCCAAGAGTCAATTCTCAATTTTATTTTTTTTAAATGACATAGTATTGATTATGCCATTACAATTATCCTAATATTTCTTCTTTGCTCCCCTCCAGCCAACACCCTCCACTCCCTCAGGCAACCCCCCCACCCTTGTTCGTGTCTATGGGTCATATGTACAAGTTCTTTGGCTACTCCATTTCCTATACTGTACTTTACATCCCCATGGCTCTTCTGTACCTACCATTCTTAATTTCTTCACCTCTTCACCCATTCTCCCACACACCCACTCCCATTGCTTTATCTTTAACCTTAGGCATTTTAATTATGACGTGTCTTGGAGAGGGCCTCTTTGCATCCATCTTGTTGGGGATTCTCTGTGCCTCCTGGACTTGCATGTCTATGTCCTTCACCAAATTAGGGAAGTTTTCTTTCTTTATTTTTTCAAATAGGTTTCTAATTTCTTGCCCTTTCTCTTCTCCTTCTGGCACCCCCATGAAGTGAATGTTGGATTGTTTAAAGTGGTCCCACAGGCTGCTTACACTATCCTCATTTTTTTAAAATTCTTTTTTCTTCTTGTTCTGAGCAGTTGTTTTTGCTTCCTTATGTTCCAAATAATTGATTTGATTCTCAGCTTCATCCACTCTACTGTTGTTTTCCTGTAAATTGTTTATTTCAATTACTGTATCCTTCATTTCTGACTGGGTCATTTTTATGCTGTTAATGTCCTCACTAAGTTCCTCGAGCATGCTTATAACCAGTGTTTTCAACTCTGCATCTGATAGATTGCTTATCTCCATTTCATTTAGCTCTTTCTCTGGAGTTTTTTTTTATCTGTCCTTTCATTTGGGCCATGTTTCTTTGTCTCCTTGTTTTGGCAGCCTCCCTGTGTTTGTTTCTATGTATTAGGTAAAGCTGCTTTGACTCTGAGTCTTGGTAGAGTGGCCTAATGTAGTAGGTGTCCTGTAGAGTCCAGTGTTCAGCCTTTTCTATCACCCAAGCTGGGTACTCGAAGTGTGCCCTTTGTGTGGGCAGAGTATTTCCTCCTCTTGTAGTTGAGCCTTGGTTGCTATTGGCAGATCAACAAGAGGGAGTTATCCAGGCCAGTCAGCTGCAAGGATTGGTTGTGATCACTTACCACCAACCTTTGCCCTCTGTGGAGAATCAGGTGTGCAGTGGCAGGGTGACGGTGCTTTGAAGTGGTCTGTAGCAGTACACTGGTGTGTTGGCCCTGGAGTTTCCCAGGTCGTGCAGGCTAAGATCAGTCCCCACCTATGTTTTTCCCAGGGCCACCCTGCCTGAGTTATAAAGTAATCTGATATAGCAGCATCTTCTGCTGGGCTTGGAGATTTCCAGGCATAGCCAAGCTGTGAATCTAGGCTACTAGTGTCATGCCTAGGGGCTCACTGAGGCCACCTGCTGCTTGTTTGAGAAGAGTTAGGAAGTTGTGAAGCAAGAGCCATTCATTCGGAAAAGCAGCTTAGGAAGGCCTACAAATTGAGTGGGTTGGAGTCTCAGAGAATCTCCAGGCTGGGCAACCAGGGCATTAGCCAGGTTGATGGAATCTCAGAAATGGCACTGCTGACTCTGTGGGGGCAAGGCCCAGAAAACGGACAATGGCTTCTACTCACCTTCAAGCCAGATACCTCAGCCTCCCCCTGCACGCCACTGGTGCCCTTCAGGCGGCTTCTCGGGTGCTGGAGCCCAGAAGGGGGGAGAGAGTCTGAGTATGTGAGCCCGTGTATGAGTTCTTTAAGAGGAACTGCTTGGGGCTCCAGAAGTTTCTTCCACCAACTCAATCCCCACTGGTTTTTGCAACCAGAAATTGTGGGGACTTATCTTCCTGGCACTGGAACCCTGGGCTGGGGGGCCCGGTAGGAGGCTGGGGGTCCTCAGTCCTGAGACACTCCTCCCAAAATTTTATCCACCACATGTGGGTGAGGGACCAGCCTGTTCTGCATCTACAACCCTCTTACTAGTCTGGATGGATGTGGTCTCTTTAATTCCATAGCTGCGAGACTTCAATTCAACTTGATTTGTGATGTTGCTGAGTGAGGGTTGTTCTATATTTTAGCTGTAATTTTGATGTGGTTGTACAAAAAGGCGAGCCATACTTGCCTATGCCTCCATCTTGACCAGAAGTCCTCTTTCACTCTAGATTTTTTTAAACGAATAAAAAACCTTTTAAGTTGCAGAAAAATAAAAGTTTTGAAATAAAGTCTAGTGGGCTTGGAAACAACAACATTCGAGTAAAAAGGCTTAATTTACAGTCAACAACAAAACTTGCTGCTAGAATTGCTTGATTAATATTCCTTTGTTTTGGGTCAAAGGAGAAAAGGAAACCAGCCCCTATAAACGGGAGGATCTGATTGGGCTGTTGCCACAGCAGAGAGGGGCAGGTGCAGCAAAGGTCTGAGCTGTCCCACGGGCAAGGATGTTTTGTCTATAGGACACCGAAAGACACCTGTCACACCTGGAACACGATTTGCTAACACAATCACAGAACTCAGAATCACTGTTTTAAAAGTTATAAAATATATACGTATATTTTATAAGAACAGGCTTATACTATGTACACACCCTTCTCAGCTTCCTCTGCCCTTGACTTAACATTCCAGTATGGCCTTCCTTCCACGTTAATGAATTCGACCTGCAGACATAATTCGTAATGGCGACAGTATACCTGACTATTGGAAATTAATTTACTCCACCAGCCCTTTATTGTGGGACAGGCTGTTTCCGGTTTTCCCTGGCATAAACAACTACAATAAACGTAGTTGCGTATTTGAGTCCTAGGACCAATTCGCAGATGTGGAATTCCTGGGCCAAAGCTAACATTTTTTAATTTTGACCCACATTTCCGAATAGACCTTCTAGAAAGTGCTTTTGTTTGTTCGGTCCCTCGGTTTTAAAATCAGATCCCACTCCCACAAACGGAGTAGGAGAAAGCTGTTTAACGGCACAATCAGCCGATCGCAAGCTCTTGCTGAACCTCAGGCCCCCCCTTACCAGCGTAACTCGGCGGACTTTCCAGGGCACTTTTAAAAAGGAAGAAAAGGGATCCGGCGAGTCCCGGGACCAGTTCTGCGTGGGGCGGACGCCCCTCCGGCTCTCGCTACAGCCCCAAAGCTAGAAAAGCAAAGTTTTTCAGGGAGGGTCAAAAGCGCAGCCGGGACGCCCCCAGGCTGGGGGAAGGGGGTGCCGAAGCGCCCCAGCTGCACTCTGGGGCTGGAGCGAGGAGCACGCGGGGCAGGCCGGACCTTGGGCCAGCCAGGGGCGGGGCGCTCGCCCGAGTCCCCCTCCAGGCCCGCCCTCCGGCCGCGTCCCCGCTGGCCCTGCCGACGTGGCGGGGCGGGACCCGCCCGGAGCTCCAGCGCGCACCCGCCAGCCTGAGCGGTAAGATCCCCGGGCACCCTCTCCCAGTCCCCTTCTCCCGGGCTGCGGGGACAAGGGGTGGTGGGGAAACCCGCTGTCGCTCCTTGGTCTGGTCCCCTCTTCCCGCCCGCTGCGTTAGTGAGAAACCGCCGGCAAGGACTAGTCACCGGGCGCGGGACCCGGGAGGATCCGGCTAGGGGGTAAAGGTCCGGGGAGGCGCGGCCGGCGCTGCCGAGGGCCCTGCGTGGGTGCGGGCGTGTGAGTGTGTGTGTGTGAGTGTGTGTCGCTCCGGGTCCACGCTCATGCACACACCCACACGCCCGCTCTCCGGGTCTGCACCCTCGGCCGGCAGTAACCTCCGCGGAGCCTGCCTTGAGCACCCAGCACCAAGCGCATCTGAAAAAGTTTCCCCAGAGTCCCAGGTCGGAGTCAGAGGCAGGCTGCAGGGTCCAGGCAGCGGAGGGCACAGAGGGTCCTCCAACAGAGATCCTGGTAAGGTAGGGGCCTCCATCCTGGGGTTCTCCTGCCTTTGGAGGTGGGAAACCGAGTGCAGGCCTGGACCTCCCACTCCCATCCGAGCTCATCATCCCTCCCCCTGCAGATCCACGCCCTCCCTTCCACCCGGGCCTACATCCTAAGCTGGCACCACCTTGATGCACAGCCCCCGGGGTTGACTACTACTCCCTAGCCCAGCCCAGCCCAGCCCCGCCCCACCCACCCAGTCTTCTCGTCTTCTCCCCTGATGAGTATTTCTAGCTCTCTCAGATCAGGCACCTGAATCTCACTGACTTTTCCAAGAGTAGGAAGACATCTCTGTGTGGGCTGTGAGGGCGCTGACTATGCCCTACTGTATAGGGCATCTTGAGGGATACGAACAGGCAACTTTTAAAATCAATGTCTCTTGAGCTCCAGGAGACCTCAGCCCCCCAGGGGAAACTGGGGGTGAGATTGCCTTCCTCCTCACAGGCCTCTTTCTGCCCTCTTTTCTTCCCTGTGGCCCTTTCCTGCCTCACTGATGTTCATTCCATGCTCTTTCCTTCCTTTCCTCCATCAAAATCTGAGCTCAGGAAAGAATCTGATAACCTCCCTGCACTGCAAACTTTAAGCAAAGGAATGAACCTCTCAGGGTGGAATTTGAGGCACAAGTGAGCCAGTGTAGAAGGAATTTGAGGGTGGGAGGGGGCCTTCCTGAATCTCGTGGATTCAGTCTATATAAGTAGTCCCTTACTGTATTTATAAGACCAGCTTAAACTGAACATTGTTTCTCTTTAATCAATACCGAATAGTATATTTCAGTTCAGTAACCATTTGAGGGTAATTCACCCAGCTGGGTGCTTGTTGGTCACAGTCCTAGAGGAGACAATGACATACAAACAAATACTCCTTATAAATGCAATGGAAGTATCTCAAATGTATTGCAAAAACATAGATGAGGCAGCAATTAATTTGGAAGGAGAAGGGCAAATTAAGGACAATTTCAGAGTAAAAGATGACATTAGGCGTTGAGAAACAAACAGGAGTTTGACAGGCATTTGGAGGCAGGGCAGCTGGGTAGAGGAAGCAGCATAAGCAAAGGCAGGGAGGTGCGGGCTCCTCTGATGGAAAGTCAGGTGAGGCAAGTGTGTAGGGTGTGGCAAGAGATGCAGGAGCAGAGCAAGACTGGAGTTGGATTATGAGGGGCCACAGGTGCTGTGCAAAGGTGTTTAAACCTAATGCTTTCTAAACAGGAAAACAAAGAGTTGTCATCTGTTTCAGAAAAATAACTGGCAGACACATGGAGGCTACACTGGAGTAAAAAGAGACTGGGACCTTGACATGTGTCCTTGTCATAGGAAGTCTTTCCTTTTTTTTTTTTTAAGATGTATTTATTTTATTTTTAGAGAGAGGGCAAGGGAGGAAGAAAGAGAGGGAGAGAAACAGCACAGTGTGGTCACCTCTCACATGCCCCTTACTGGGGACCAGGCCCACAACCCAGGCATGTGCCCTGACTGGGAATTGAACCAGCCACCCTTTGGTCTGCAGCCCACACTCAATCCACTGAGCTACACCAGCCAGGGCAGGAAGCCTTTCTTACATACCGATTCAGAAGCTCTCATCCAGAGTGTTTGTCCCCCGTCCTTTAATGACCAGCACTTTTTTAAATTAGGAAAAGTGATTCCACACAGGGCATTGTGTTACCAAATTCTTATTTTGCCAAATGAAGCCATTAAAAAAAAATCCATCCACTCTACCACTATTCCATAAGAATGAAAGATATTTTAATACCAAGAAGAGCATGAAGGTTAGCCTTGCAAGATGAAGGCAGCCCTTCGCATTAATAAATTTAGATTGATGAAAAACTTGCCATCTTGTCCTCCTTTTTCTCTGTCATCATGGACTGTCCCAGTGCTGCGGGATGGTGTTCGAGAACTAAGCGTTCAGATCATCTGGTCCACCCTCGGTTTACAGGGGAGGAAACGAGGAAGCCCAGCATAAATGAGTGAGCTGTGTGCACACAGAGGGACAGTGGGTCGGAGCGCAACTCCTTCCGCCTCGGAATCCCACCCTTCCCACCCTCACTATTCCTGCACGTGGCCTCCTGGCCGGCGTCCACACAGGTGTCCATCCCGAATCTCTAGAATTCACTTCTGAGGCTGGACATTTGCTCTACTCTTATTCTGTCATGCCTAAATAACCGTATCAAAGCTATTTTCAAGGTTCTCCCTTGCACGAGGTTGGGCTAGTTCATCTTTTCCTTATTTGATCGGCTCTTTTGCATCATCACTTAACTAGCTTGTGTTAGCCGAAATCATTCCCCGCACCTTCACTGATCAGGAATAAAATATAAACAGATTATTCATTTCCTGAAGGAGAGTAATCATGTCTTCTCTTTTAATGTTATTTTTGGAACTATGATGCTGCCGCTCCGATATCTAGCATAGTTCCGAGAGCATTTTAGGTATGATTGAATTTATTCACGAAAAAAGCTGACTTCTTCCCAGCCCACAAAGGCTTCTTTATATGCCACCCCTCCTCTCCTTGCAGTTTACTGAAGAAGCCCCCTTGTTTCTGTGGGTTGAGCCTCCCTAGCATCAAAAAGCCACAGACTTAGCCGCAGTGATCAACATTCTAAACGATAAATTGGGAGGAACGTGGAAGCCTGACAGCCCTTGGGGCACCCGGGCAGAGATGGGGGCTGTCCCAGGAAACAGCGTGGGGCGCGGCTGCGGTCCTGGCGGACTCCATCAGTAACTGCGAGGGAATAGCTGTGTGTGTAGGACACACAATTTCTGATGATCACAGACAAAAGGGCACAAAGTGAGTGATTCTCTGTGGTCCTAGTAACATCCACTGTAGGTAAAGGTTTACCAAAACAAACACAAAAGACCCCTCTCGTTTTGGTTTAGGGGAAAAGGTACGCCTGTAACAGGTAAAAGGAAACAGATCAGAGATATATATGATTGGAAGTTAAAGTAGGGCTGCACAGTGTAGTTACCATTTTTACTATAGAAACAGATGTAAGAAATATAGTCTTTCTGAAATTTATAAGTTGTCCATAAATACTTTTTAACAGTATCAGTTCAACACCGTCGAGCTGACTCCTTGGGTATTCTGAAGGGAATGGCTTCGTGTTGTGGGTTGAATGCAGAGCAAACGCAGGGAAGAGAGGTTTTGTTATAGCAATTTTTCTAGAATTGAGGTGAAATGACCTAAGGCAATTTGGCCATTAGAGACGGGTGGGGGCTGTAGGTTTCCTTCCATGACACCTCCCTACCAAGAGTGCTGTTACCACAAAGCTCTCAGAAAGAGTTCCGCCGCTCACTCGCAAATATACTAGCAACTGGGTTCTGTTACACAGCCTTTCCTGTAAGCTTGGTGAAGTCCTAGCTCTGTGCTTTCAGGCCTCTGGGGAGGACTCAGGTGACCTTCTCATCCGCTTCAAGTTCTGGTGTTCTCCCGCAATCAGCCAGAGAACTAGAAAAAATCTGCTCCACAGGCCAGTAAGCTGCTGGGCTCAATAAACCCTTATGCCCTGGTAATGGCAGGGTAAAAAAGAACCTGTACATTATTTTTGCAGTCTACATATCTTCAGCCCCGTTTCTATTTCATCAGTGAGAATGATTTCTAATATTCCTTATGGTAATTAGCACACCGTGGAGTACCTATCTGAGAAGGTGAAAGTTAGACCCACTCAAGAGGTGAGCTCTCAGTTACAGATACTGAAATGCTAACTAAAGACCTCTGGAGAGCAAGTGTCTGAACAGGGCACTTCAGATGTTAACCAACCATCATTCCAGGGCATAAATGACAACCCACGCACATCACTGGGTGCGTGTTGAGGTAGTTAGCATTATGAATGGTACCATAACACATTTAGGGTGAAGCACACACAACAAAGTGTCCATAATGCTTTTTATTTGCCCATGAATGTTTGTCACAGCCAGACTTGTGTTCCTGCTTATATTGTAGAAAAAGTGAAATAGTTTGGAGCTTCTTAATAATCCAGATCAATGACAAGGATTTTCAAATTATCTTATAAAGACATAAATACGCAGTGTCTATGACCAGCTATTGATGAACCCAAAATGGGGATAAAAGTGATGTCTCAGTCTCACGTTCTCACGGACCCATTCTCCTCACGGCCCTGCCCCTGGGACCCGGTTGAGGTCAGGGTTAATGAGCACGGATAGCGCTTTGGGCTGTGGCAGTCAAGCAGGGCCCTAGGCTGTGAGCCAGCAAACATTTCCTACAAAGGGCCAGAGAGTAAACGTTTTAGGCTTTGTGACTTTGTGGACTGTGTCGTCTCTGTCACAATTACTCAAACCATAGACAATGTACAAACAAATGAGGATGTCTGTATTCCAATAAAACTTCAGGCCAGTTTGCCAGCCTCCATCCTAAGCCAATCCTGACAAGGCTCTCCCAAAGATTTTGTAAGTTTCCAGATGACAATAGCTTTTCAAGCACCTTCCCTCAATCCCACTCTCCTCCCACAAACCACGGTGACTACCCTTTTCTGTACAGTGGCCTTGGGTCATTCTTTACTGTTTCAACCAGGCACTGACCATACTCATTGACAGAATCCACCCCCCCCCACCACAATCTAGGGTATCCTGGGCAACTGGGGAAATGTGGGTGCCGTCAAATGGAACACAAAAATTAAGAGGAAGATCCAGTTCATGGTAAGACCACAGGTTTCTTTTGGACAAGAAGAGATTTCCAATTGGCCATTAGAACTACTTGAGAGGTAGAATTTCTTTCCCGCAGCAGTACTAAGATATTATTATACTATATATTATATATATTCTTAGTAAATCAAGATGTAATTCATATACTGCAAAATTTACTCTGTCAAAGTGCACAGTGCAGTGGTTTTTAATATATTCACACTCTTGTACAGCCATTATCAGGATCTAATTTTAGAACATTTCCATCACCTGTAAAAGAAAGCTGTGCCATTAGCAGTCACTCCTCATTCCCCCTCCCACCAGCCTCTGGAAACCACTCATTTCCTTTCTGTCTCTGTGGACTGGGGGTAGACGTTTGAGACTCACAACTCCAAAGTGGTGTGTAAAACAGAAAGGAGTGTGACTCACCAAGGGGGAGAACGTAGCAGGAAAAGGAAATAGCCAGGCAACAGCTATTTGAGGGGATGGCAGGGTTGGCTTGTGCACTTGAGTTCTTTCTAAGCTTCCACCACCAGGTGGCTGGTATGTTAAATGGCTTCTCTCATTCCGTGGTTTTAGCAGCAACCTGAGATTTGACCAACTGGTAAACACTGAAGTCAACAAAAATACCCATTGTTTTGCCCAAGATTTGGCTTCTTGTGTAGTGACAGCACTCTGCATTTTATCCAAAAAATTATCAACTTGAACTAGCCTTCCATATCTCTGCTATCCAGCTTGTAGCCACTAGCCATATATGCCTATGTAAAATTAAAATTTATATTATTTAAAATTACATTAAAGAAATTTAATGTGGCACTAGCCACATTCCACATGCTCAATAGCCACATGTGGCTATTTGCTACCACAGTGGACAGTGCAGATATAAAACAGTTTCATCATCACAGAAAGTTTTATTGAGCAGTACTGTTTTACAAGATAACGAGTTTTCTGTGTTGTAGGTTGTTTTGTAATGACTACATTCCTCATTTGGCTTAACATATCACTTCTTCCCATTCACTCTTGTGTATCCCTGTCTAAACTGTTGTCCAAGCAGAGCCCAGGCCTTCACCAGCTGGTGCCCGACAAAGCACACTTATGTGTTTATATGTCTCCTTCTCAATGTGAATCTCTGGGGACATGGCAGAGCTAAATGTCAAGTATTTTTTGATAAGCTTTTGGGTATTTTCTATGCTTATGCTCATTATTGCTACAAATAAAATCAATGAAGTCACACTAAATAAATAATTTCACAGATCTGAATAATATTCCTAGTTACCATATGCATATCCATGCATACCAAACAAGAAATACATGAAAGGTAAAAGATAGCACTGTAGGTTGTATTAGTTTCCTATTGCTGCTGTAACAAATTACAGCATCCGGAGTGGCTTATAACAACACAGATTTATTCTCTTACAGCTCTGGAGGCCAGAAGTCCAAAATCAGGTTCACTGGGCTAGTGCCAAGTTGTTGGTAGGGCTGGTTCCTTCTGGAGTCTCTGAGAGGAGAGTGATTTCCTTGACCTTTCCAGCTTCTAGTGGTCACTCAAATTCCTTGGCTTGTGGCCCCTCCTTTGTTTTCAAAGCACAGCTCTCCAGTCTCTGCTCCTGTCAGCACACCACCTTTTCCTTTTTGTAGTCAAGTCTCCCTCTGCTTCTCTCTAATAATGGCACTTGGGAACTGCCTTTAGGACCCACCTGGATAATCTAAGATACTCTTCCCAATACAAGGTCCTTAACTGGATCACACTGGTGGAGTCTTTTTTGCCATACAAGGTAAAATTCACAGATTCCAGGGATTAGGACCTGGATGTCTTCGGGATATTGATTCAGTCTACCCCAAGGTTACGTCAAGTTTCTTATTGGTTGAAGAAGGTTTATTAGTAATTTAATTATTCAGGGCTTCGAATTAAAGTTTGACAATTCAGATTAAAGCAGAAAGTTTTTCTTTGTAATCATGTTGACAGGTAATAAGAAAAAATGTCTGATGATGCTGGTGACACGGTAGCCACTGGAGACAAAGCAGAAATTACCGAGATGCCCAACAGTGATTCTTTACCCAAAGATGCAGAGGCACACTGTGATTCAGCGACAATTTCAAATGAGCCGACCCTGGCTGACCCTGGAGGCGAGGTGCATGAAAATGCAGCCATTCAGGGTGCAGAGGCTGCTGACGCTGGGCACCTGGAGCAGCCCAAAGACACCAGTGCTGTGGACCCCCCACTCAATGGAGAAGTGGCTGAGGATGTGCTCACCGAATGCATCGACGCTGTCAGCCTGGAGGCAGAACTTGGATCCGAAATACCCCTGAAAGAACAGAATAATCCGGTAGGAGTGGTTTCTTTGATTCAGTTCAACCTAAGTTCTTACTGACACCTACCATGGGCACAGATCTCTGCCAATCTCTGTGGGTGGCGTTGGGGGGTTCAGAATATACTGTGATATCACCTCTGTCATCAAAACTGTGTTGTGTGGTGAGAAAAGAAATATTTGAGAACATTTGGTCATTATATTTGTATTTTTAAAATATTTTTTATATTTGCATTTTAAAAAAGATTTTTTAAAATTTATTTTTAGAGGGGGGAAGGCAGGGAGAAAGAAAGGGAGAGAAACATCAATGTGTGGTTACCTCTTGAGCGCCCCCCACTGGCAACTTGGCCCTCAAGCCAGGCATGTGCCCTGACTGGGAATCTAACTGGCAACCAGTTTGGTTTGCAGGCCGGCATTCAAACCACTGAGCCACACCAGCCAGGGCATATATTTGCATTTTGATAATGGAGTTATTAATAATAATAACAGCTACCAATAATTGGATACATCCTGTGTGCCAGGCACTCTGCTAGCCACTTTATATGTCATGTAATTCACTCCATACAACAGTTCTTGGGGGTTCTAAGATGGATGTTATTAACTTCAATTTATAAACAAAGCAACCAGGCTTGGAGATCTTAAACAACCCAGTAAGATATTAAGCTACTCAGTAGTAAAGTGGAAAATATTGTAATATTGAACATGAGTCCAAATTATTAATGAGCCTGATTCTACCCAAACCACATCAATGTTGCTTTAATGTCACTTAAATTTTAATGCATATTTACAAATCCACTGTGGAGATCTTAGACATTCGGATCACATTCAGACATTCAGATCCTCATACACCTTCCCGCCTTCCAGGGGGCCAGAGGCAGAGCATGTTCGCATGTTCACGGCCAGTTTCCTTCAGTGTCTGCACCTGTTTCTCTGGGCAAAAAGACCACTGTCTCCCAATTGGTACCTTGTGCCGATCAACACAACCACTGAGCTGGGTTCCATTGGCATCTTCACCTCCATCTGTGTGGGGGTGGGTGGGGGTGGGGAGGCACCCAGCCTGCAAGGAGGAGGATGGCTGCTCGCCTCCAATCCTGCCTTCTGGAGCGATGGGGGACCGGGCCCCTGCCCTGCTTGTCCTGAACTGTGCCACCTCAGATCACCTCTTTTCAAAAATTTTTTTTTAAAAAGTTCTCCCCCTTTTCCCGCCAATTACTCTCCCCTGCCCTGCCTATCCCCCCTCTCCCATGGTCCGCCCCCTCCCCCGACCACCACTATCCTTGTTCATGGGTCTTTTATATGTGTTCCATCACTTGACTCTTCTCCTTGTTTCCCCTGTTGTCCCCCTCCCTACCTCCCTCTCAGTTTGTTCTTTATTTCTGTGTCTCTGGTTCTATTTTGCTAGCTTGTTTGTTTTGTTGATTAGGTTCCATTTAACTTAATTAGGTTCCATCTGGCTTATTCCTATTAATATAATACTCTCCAGTTCTACCCACACTGTCACAAAGGGTAGGAGCTCCTTCTTTCATTCTGCTGCATAGTATTCCATCGTGTAAATGTACCACAGTTTTTCAATCCACTCATTTACTGATGGGCACTTAGATTGTTTTCAGCACTTGGCTATTGTAAATGCTGCTATGAACTTTGAGGTGCATGGGTTGTTTTGAATTAATGTTTCAGGATTCTTAGGGTATAATCCCAGCAGTGGAATTGCCAGGTCAGAATGTTACAGAGCACAACAAGGGGGGGGCCTGGGATGACATACTATTACTGAAAGAAGCCCCCAGGTCCTTTATGTCCACCGCCAGAGGAAAGACGTCTCTCAATGCCAGAGATTCATGAAAAGGAAAGGAAATGTTTATTTAATGCTATACAGACTTAAAGCAGTGACCTAATGTCTTCATCAAAAATCCTAAAGGCTCTTAAAACACCCACAAACAGACACAGTCCTTCCTTCCCCCTTTGCCCAGTCCAGAATACCATATCTCAGGAAAGGAAATAGAAGTCCATGGCTCAGTCAGTACTCCGTCTTATTCCCAGTCAGTACTCTGTCTTAACTGGGAGACCTCCCTGGGTTCCTGGCACCCTCAGCTGTGTCGCCGGGATCTCTGCTAAAACTGGGTGGTGTTTCCCCCTCCTAAAGCTGCGGGGGTCCCCACTCTGGCAAAGGCACAGTAGTCCTCTCTCCCAGGGCCACGGGAGTCCCCACTCAGCCAAAACCACGTGCTTCTCCCCACAAAGCTGTGGGGAGAGGGGTCGCCACTCTGCGACCCCTCTCCCCACAAGTTGAGTGGCAATTCTCTGCTAAAGCCACATGGTAATCCTCTCTCACAGGGCTGCAGGAGACCCCACTCTGCTAAAGTCATGTGCTTCTCCCCTCAATGACTGCAAGGAGAAGGGTCACCACTCTGCCAAAGCTGAGTGGTGGTTCTCTGCTAAAGCCGCATGGTGATTCTCTCTCACAGGGCTGCGGGAGTCTCCACTCTGCCAAAGCCGAGTGGTTCTCCCTCCAATGGCTGCTGTCTGGGTTTAAATCCCCGCGCCAATCTTCCTCTGCAGCCCCATTTCCGACTCCTCCCACACTCAGCTTCACATGCCAGAACTCATATCCTTCCAGCTTTATTGGACTGCCATGATGAGTCTGGGCAGGTGTGGCCCATGTCATGGAGCCAATCATCTCCAAGCTCCCATGCAGGTGCTGTAACTCAGGGGACCTGCTCCCCAGTCACATCTTGGGTGAGAGAGTCCCTTTCCATCCTCCTGGCCCAGAGATGGCCATAGCTATTTAGCATATCTAAGTGACCAGCCGAAGGCTATGGGTATGTTAAATGACCATGCCATGGATTAGCTGCACAGCTGCCCTGCATGTTCTTGCTCTGTGTGCCCCTTCCCCCAACTCATACCTGTGGGGGAAGGGGTGAAGACACCTTAAAATCTCCTGGACACCTTGAGTTCTGGACCCCATTTCAAATGCCCATTTGGGGTCTCCCTCTTGGCTGCACCATGTAACAATAAGGCAGTTTCCTTTTTAGCTTTTTTAGGAAATTCTGTACTGTTTTCCACAGTGGCTGCACCAGTCTGCATTCCTACCAACAGTGTACTAGGGTTCCCTTTTCTCCACAACCTCGTCAGCACTTGTTGTTTGTTGATTTGGTTATGATGGCCTTTCTGATTTGTGTAAAGTGGTATCTCACTGTGGCTTCAATTTGTATCTCTCTAATGGCTAGTGATGTTGAGCATCCTTTCATATGTGTCTGGGCCCTCTGTATGTCCTCCTTGGAGAAGTGTCTGTTCAGGTCCTTTGACCATTTTTTAATTGGATTGTTTGTCTTCCTGGTGTGGTGTCATGTGAATTCTTTATATATTTTGGAGATCAAACCCTTGTCCGAGATATTATTGGCAAATGTTTTCCCATACGGTTTGTTCCCTTTTCATTTTGCTAATGTTTTCTTTAGCCATGCAGAAGCTTTTTAATTTGATTAAGTCCCATTTGTTTATTCTTCCTTTTATATCCCTTGCTCTAGGGGACATATTGGTGAAAATATTGCTGCGTGGAATACCCAAAAATTTTCTGCCTATGTTCTCCTCTAGGAGAACAAACTTTTATGGTGCCGCAACTTACATTTAAATCTTTCATCAATCTTGAGATTATTTTTGTGTATGGTGTAAGTTGGTGGTCAAGTTTCATTTTTTTTTTGCATGTAGCTGCCCAGATCTCCTGACACCATTTGTTGAAGAAGCTATTTTTACTCCATTTAATGTTCCTTCCCCCATTGTCAAATATTAATTGACCATAGAGACATGGGTTTATTTCTGGGCTCTCTATTCTGTTCCATTGGTCTATGTGTCTGTTCCTATGCCAGTACCAGACTGTTTTGATTACCATGGCCTTGCAATATAGTTTGACACCAGGTATTATGATCAGGATACCTCTTTGAAGGGACTCTGCTGCGTGCCATGAGGGAGGGGAACTAAACAGGAAACCAGGATGGGGCAGAGAAGAGCTGGGCTTTCATTCTCCAACCTATCAACAAGTCTGTTAATTTGGGCAAGACACCTCATTTCTCTGTGCCTCAGTGTTTTCCTCTATACAATGAAAAATCTGCATGTGAAGACTACTAACTCTTCTGACTAATGTTTTATGATTCTTTTTTTAAAAATTTACTGCATTTTTATTTTTTTTCTTTTTCAATTACAGTTTACATTCACTATTGTTTTGCAGTAGTTTCAGGCATACAGCACAGTGGTTAGACAGTCAGGCGCTTCCCCCAATATTTTCCTTTCCCGCCTGGCACAGAATGTAGTTGTCACAGTATTACTGACTATATTCCCTATGCTGTACTTTACATCCCTGTGCCTGTTCTGTATCTACCAATATGTACTTCTCAATTCCTTCACCTTTTTCACCCAGTCCCCCAAAATTGGCTTCTTAGTTTCCGTAGAACTGTTCTAAGATGTGATGGGCTTTCTCGGGGAAGAGAGTGTTTCCTAAGACTGGAGATGTTTAAACAAAACCAAACAGTTATTTTGCAAGGATGTCAGCTGGGAGTTTAGATCAGATATGGTCAACGTACGCACAATTTTGTTTCTGAAGTCAGGGTTCACAGACCCTTGAAGCCGCCCATGGACCCTACGAGGGATTAAGAACTCCCAGGCTAGAGGTTCTCAACCCTAACTGAACATTTCAACCCTGGGAAAGCTTTAAAAAAATACTGATGCCAGAGTCTGTATTAAGCTGGGTTCTCCAGAGAAATGGAACCAATAAGATACATATGTATGTCTCCTGTCCCTGTGAATACCTATATACCTGACTCTGGAACCCATTTTCCCTCTTCACTGTCTTTCTGTTGTGGGGAGCACTGCTTCCCAGTTTTATTGTAAGTGCCACTGTTAGTAAATACCATTGTCCATGAAAAAAACTGTATCTTAGCCACACCATTCTGACATGGGATGACTTAAAAAAACTACACAAGTTCCACTAATTCAAAATATATATGCTCTTGATGCCTGGGTTATACATT